TGGTGGAGTTCGATGGTTTGGGTGATCGAAAAGTGGTGGAATGGGGCTCCTTAGGTGGCTACTGAAAATGGGTGAAAATGAAGAAGAAAGAAGAAGGTGAAATGAAAGAAGTTGGGAAAATAATTTGATATAAATTGAAGGACAACTTTGTCATTTTACCTTTAAAACATTTTATTTATTTTTTATTCTATTTCAATGTTGGTCAAATGCCATTTCTCCAAAATCATTGTTTAGTGGAGTTATTTGGCCAAATTTCCCAATACATATAATGGCTCCATTTCCCTTTTCTTCAAGGGCATTACATTCTGCCCGTGGATTAAGTAGGTTAAGCGAGCCCTCAAATTTAAAATTTACATTTTTGTTCGTATTTTCTTGTTAAAAATTTTGTTGATAATTAATGACATTAAAAAAAATTAAATACGAATAAATTTTTAGTCAGTAATGCTGAAAACATAGATAACTCAACAAAATTAATTTACTGAAAATATATTTAAAAAAAAAAACTTGAGAACAAAATGAAAATTAAAAAAACAATCTATAAATCTATAATATTATAAAAAAGTGAAAACATATAACTTATCTATCAGCATCTAATAAAAAATACTATTTTTTTTTCTTTTTTGACAGATCACTATCAATAATTTTATCTAAACCAACGTATAATAATTTCAATCAAATTCACAAACAATCATACAATTGAATATCAATTGCTTTTTATCAGTGACTAAAGCATCTCGTAGGTTTCCAATAACATCATTGACGCTATTGTCGTTGGTAATAGCTGATGAAATCTGTCGATCAAGGATATCGTGTTCAACAATTTCATTTGATTTATCAATATATATAGATTTCCATCTTAGATCACCAACATATCATCATTGATCAGATAGAATTTTAGTTAATGAGAAATTGTTTCATTAACCATTTTTCTGATCGATTATTGTTCCTCGAAATGGTCCCTTTAGCGATTTTTGTCCAAGTCCTCAAATTGTTTTTAATGTTCTCTGAGAGCATAAATTGTGCAGATATTTCTTAACATCAAGGTTGATTAATAGTCAAATCCAATGACGAGGAAGCATAGAGAAGCATGTTTTAACTTCTTTTAAAGGTATTAAGAAATATTTGTACATGGGAGGTCACAATGTTCTTATAGAAATATAACATTCTCACGTCACATCATATCTGAATGTTCTTAAGGATTAAGGTTACAATGACACATCATATTGTTCATCTTGTAATCCTTATCTTACTTTGCTTTCCATATATGATGCCAATAAGATGATATCTTTATTACTCTTTTCTAACCTCTAAATCTTTCTTAAAAAATTAAGTTGAAATATAGATGGTGTTGAAATAGTAGTTTTAGTAGTAATGTGATATAAAAGTAAGCATGAGAAGAACCTGGATGAATCTCAAACCATGAATGTTGCGTTTTTTATATCGCAAGTGTACGATATCATAATAAGTAATATATTGGACCTTTGAGGCCGAATTATCGTTTCCACAAGGATTATACTTTAGAACTTAATTAGATTTTTCTAACTCCTATTTGATAAAAGCAAACAAATAATTATATTTTGTTGTGAATTTTTTGTTTAAACA